ATGGCTATGTCGCTGGACTCCCATGTAGTCGACCACGGTTCGCATCCCAGTCCTGGTGGCTTAAACTCATGCCATGCGCGTGTGCGTGCGTGCCCAAGATCCTGAGAGGAGAATGGAGAAGGGATTGCTGTGTGGCCATGCCCCTGGGGGGTGATTTCTTGCTTTCTGTCTCTCTCTGTCTGGCGAGTGCACACACCCTATAGCAAAAACATCTCAAAAAAAAAAAAAATAGTAGGTGTAAGTAAAATAGCCTAACCTGGCATTTCTCAAGTGATGTTTGGTTGTCAGAGGCCTCTACTGTAAGCAGCACTGGAACTGTTTTGGGTGTGTGTTTGAGGCTTCCCTGTATGTTCCAGGTAGGTGCACATGCCTGGGATCCTGGCTGGCTGAGGCTGGGGCTGGTTGGCAGCAGGAAGACCTTGTGAAGAGTGCTTATCCCTCTGTCTCTATTTTTATCTTTCACAGAAGAAATAAATACACTTAAAAGAATTCAAAATTTAAAAAAAATGGAGAGAATAATGAGATCAACTCACAGGTGTCGTGTGAATGGAATGAGTTAACATACGCAGAGCATTGAGAAGGTGCCTGAAACAAAGTCAGCATTCAAAAATGATTGCTCCTCCTACCTCCTTTTCTAACACCTTTTCTTCCTTCTCCTTGCTTTGCTTCTTCTCCTTTCTGTTTTTTTCCATAAGCAGGAGACAAGTATGCTATAGATTAAACTTATGTATTATTCTAAACATGCAACCAGCCATACTTTGAGTGGGAATAAAATGCCACCTTTATATCGCCTCTTCTGAGTTTTCACACGTAGCTATTTACAATAGTTAATCAGAGTTATATATATATATATGTATATCTATAGATAGATAGATATACATACACACACACACACACACACACACACATATATATAAAACATTTTTGTAGCCCTGTCTCAAATTGAAGACTGTGTTGTATCCACAACATTTTCCCAATGAAAATATTTATGTTGTTCAATAGTACGTGAAGGAAAATGTTACCAATCTATAACCAGCAAATTGATCCATAAATTATTTTAGACACTTGAAAAATAATGCTAAAATTTTAGTAAATTCCACTAAATTGGCATTAATTAGTTAATAATGTTTAGTGATTTATTGTTTAAGTAGGCTTTCAATTAATATTCAAAAATAGGGGAACCAGCAGTTAGCGTACAGCAATCACTTCTCCGTTCTCCTTTTCGGATTGCGGGCATGCACACACACATGCCCAGTGTGTTTTAAGCCACTGGGTCTGCGACTTGAACTGCTATCAGCCATGTATGATCCAGTGCCTTAACCAGCACACCATCTACTGGCCCTGTCCAGGCTGTATCTTACTAAGGGAACCTGCACTTATTAGATATCATCCGCTATGTTTAGGTGTTTTCCCATGTTCTCTTCTCCAAATTATTTACAGAGCTTAGAAGTTCCACTTAGCCCTGATGACTTATAAAATTTCTTCAGGCAAATAACTAGCCTGAAACTACAAGAATCTCTACCTAGAACTAATCTAAATATATCAGGAGACTCAATGTACCATGAAGGTTCATCAAGAGTACCTTAGCAGACTGTAACTCAGTCTGGGTCCTCTGGATGAGAAACCCTAGTGTGTAGCTACGGTGTCCAGTTGCTCAGAAGTATTTTAGCCTTTCATATCAAAGACAAAGAGAAATCTCCTGGAAACCGAATGTATAATCATGCCAGCTATGGATCCACTCAGAAAATCAGCTACTTTCACTCACAAACATGTCTCGACTCCAAACTGAGGTAATCCAATATTTACAGGAGAAAATGTGTGGAAGGGCAGAGCCACTGTTTTCTGGCTCCATGTTGACTACTTTGAAACATACTTTTCCAGAGAAGTATGGAGCTCTAAATTAAAATGCTTTTAAGAACCACCAATTAAATCAAGAAATTAAATCAAGAAATAAAATGTGCTAAATTTCTTTGCCACGATAATAGCAATTTATAAAAATTAATTTATTAGTTTGCATGTTTTTAAAAAATCAATCCCAATAAATGTTCGAAAACATTTAAATTAGGCATACTTATTCATTATGGCCTGAATCTTCTGAAAATGGGAAACGGGAGGGGAAGGACAATTCTGAATTCTGTTTTCAACATGCTTAATTAACTAATGGAGTTGGGCTTAAACTGGCAATCCTTCCTGCATCTCCACATCCCATGAAAGAAAAAGCAATGATAGCATGCTGTCTTAATAAGGATGCTATAAAAAGGAGTGTGTGGTTTCCACTAGGTACTGTTTTGGAAATATTTATCTTAATACTGGTCAGGTTGGTCTGTTCTAACTGCACTTGAATATTTTAAGGGAAAGTGCTTTATAAACAGCCTTAGATATAAAGAGAGTTTGAAGTCTCATTGTGATATTTTGGAATTCTGATGAATATCTACTGCATATGAATTATGGAAATATCATTTGAAAATTCCAACAGCTCTCTAGTATACCCCAAATCCTACACGTAAATCTTGGAATTTACTTAAGTTAATTTTTTTAGCATTCCAAGATGGTTATAATATACTGCTTTAAGAAACTCTTCAAGGTTTTGAATCTTTGAAGCCTGAACAAAACTAAGGATTTTCTTTGGGATAACAGATTGAATCCAAAACCCCTAGGACACCATTTTCCAAAGAGCATTCCACAAAACATTAAGTCCATGAGATGCTATTTGGGAAGAAATATTATGACCAAATAGTAAAGAAATGTCAGATATGAATCTTCATAATTATCTTAAAGATCTTTTAGAATGTATATTTTCTGAAAGCAGGAAATCTGTCTGAGCCTTGTTCACCACTATAGCTCCATGCCTGCAGCAATACTTTGCAATTAGCACACATTCATTAGGAATGAAAAAAATGAATGGATGAACATCAACAGGTTGGAACATTTCTCCTGAAAATTTCTCTTTAATTTTCTTTCACCCAAAGTACTGCACATCTATTTCATCACAGGAATCCTTTGTTTTTCCTATTATCACTATATTATAGGCAGGTAGGGAGAAGAAAGCATAGAGAAAAATACAAACACACATGTAATTATCACCCATATTAAGTATTAAATGTAACAAATACAACAAAAGCCTTCTAGGGATCAGTTCCATTTTTATACTTCCTATTCCACCTCCCCTTAGATGGAGGTAACCCCAACATAGAATTTACTAACATTCTGCTCTGGAAAATCCTAAATTGAGGGGTTGCTAAAATTCCTCAAGCATTTAGATTTTATTTCTTTTTTTAAAATTTCATTTATTCATTCACATATTTTAATTGGACCAGAGAGAGACATAGAGAGAGAAAGGAGAGAGGGAAAGCGAGAAAGCAAGCCACCAGGTTCGGTACTCGAACTGTGGTTGGCCATGTGGGAGTGTGCAGCACCTTAACCACCATGCTACTTGCTGGTTCCCAAGATTTTATTTCTAACTAGTATATATTTTTGCAAATGGTCATCTGTAAAGCTATCCACTTACTGCATTAATACAATAATGAATAAGAAATGAATGAAATAAAACACTACAATACAGATGCAAGACAATAGGCAGTTCATATAATAATGATTTGTATGAGAGGCTAAGCAGGTTCTCTTTCAGATGAACTGGCGTGAAATTAAAGATGTCATATTAATATAAACAGTGTCCCATAGTTGTGTAGACGTATTGCTTGCTTAAACTAGACTGAGTAATTTAGGAACTGTTCTCTACAATGGTAAAGAAAACGTCCCTAACAATGTATATGTGAGACCTTGGCTTTCTAAAGAAAATATCTGGGGTTGGAAAAATAAAACCACGCCGGGATCAATTTCATCATGCACCCACATTTACAGAACAGAGGCTGCCAGTAGAGAAGACCTCTTCCTGAGATGAATGAACAATTACTAATGAAAATCTCTTTTATCAAGAACCAGCATCCTCAGATAGGAAAGCACACATGAGCCAACTTAGTTTAACAGAAAAAGAACAATTTAAAAAATTCCATCAATATTTTTCACGATATATTTGTGGGAAATAACTTTTCCTCACAGTTTCAAGTATTGTTACTGGTATTTCTAACTTGTAGTAGAAAAACTTTAAGAATGCTACCAGGAAAATGTTTATTTGATTAATGTTTACTTTTTGCCCTTTGCTTTATAGAACAGGTAAGAAAAGGGGGCATAGTATATGCTTAATGCTCTATTTCATGATTTTATGTTTAAAAGGTGAAGACCAACTAGTTAACTTAGTGAAAAATAATTGAGTCCAAAACCCCTATCTGTGTGGACAGTCATGCATATGAGGGGGCTTAAAAAGTTCATGTATTGGGACCAGCAGTTAGCGTAATGGCTATGTTGCTGGACTCCCATGTAGTCGACCGCAGTTCGAGTCCCGGACCTGGTGGCTTAAATTCATGCCGGGCACGCGTGCATGCATGCCCAAGATCCCAAGAGGAGAATGGAGGAGAAGGGATTGCATCGTGGCCATCCCCCTGGGAGGTAATTTCTCATTTCTGTCTCTCTCTGTCTCTCTGTGTCTGTCTGGTGAGCACACGCACCCTATAGCAAAAAAAAAAAAAAAAAAAAAAAAAAAAAATCATGTATAATGGAATTAAAATGTGAGGTTGTTTTGGTACAAAAGTTTTATGAAATCCCTGTATAGTTTTTTCATAGTATGCATTTCCCATTGACTTTTGAAGACTCCTCCCTCAAACTAAAAAGACTAGAGCAACCAGAATATCAAGATGTACGCATGAATTTTCTACTCTATGATTGGTAATTGGCATCATGTGGTTTCACAAACAATTGCAAAGCTGAGGATTTTAGGTCACTTTCCAAATCCAATGCACTGAATTATTCTTATGTTAAATGCCACCAAGGAATGCAATATAGTCATATTCTGTATTCAGAAACCCATAAGTTCTTTTTCACATTAAAATGAATTAAATAGACTTGTACCTAAAAATGTTTATTAAAAAGGTATCCATTCCTACCTCCATTATCTTTTAGATGTAGAGCTATCTTGGTATCATCTGGAAAAAGAAATTCAAAGTTATAATAGAAAAAGATTTCAGAGGTGCATAAATCACATCATCAAATAATTATCAACTAACTGCCTTAACTGTAACACGACTGGGTTGTAATAATTTATTAAGGCAATTTCTAGAGCAGTGAGAACAAGTCCTAGCCTTACATGAGATAGTCTAAATTATTTTTTACACAGATTGTCAAACTAAAACTTCAGCGAAGTAATATACAATGCTTCAGTTCTGTGAGAAAAGTAAGCAATTCAATGATAACTTAAAGTATACCTATTTTTTGTTTCCTAATTTGTTATAATTAAATTCTCTAGTTATGATCTTATTTATCCATTTAAAAAATCAAGATAAAAAAGTTCCGCATTAATAAGAACAGTTAAGACTTGTGAATATTTATAAATTTAACACCAAAGGTTAAATTTAACGTTAGGGCTAGCAAATGTGACCAGAATAATACATGAAAAGATCTTGTACTGAATGAACAAAACTTAAGATATGCCTTTTCATGTCAGTAGTTATAGTTCACTCTCAAAAGTAGGATTTAAATTACATAAATACTTTCAAAGACATTAAAATATTATTCCAAAATAACATAGATGAAAATATAATGTTGCTTTCAGAAGCAATAAAATATATTTAGTAACTGCCCTTTACTTCGCTTTATTCTCTAACCTTAGATCCAATTAAATTTCAATTATAAATAAAAGTGACAAGTTTACCTCCTGTCCAAATGAAAGCAAAACTATGGCAATAAGCAAGTACGATTTTTTTTCTCCTCAAAGCTTTTTCTTGTCCAATTTATTCTTGTATTTCTGCCTACTCTCCTAGGCAAACCCTTCAGAATAAAAAGTTATCAAGGCCTGGCTACTATACGACCTCCTTCTCTCCATGAGTTGTCCCCATACATTAACACTCTAGTATTTTGGCCTTCCCTAGAAAAGGACATACATTTCAAGGACAATTTCTATGACACAGTGCCCTGTTGATGTTATGGGTCATCATAGTTTATTGATTGTATTCAGGAAAAATCTTAGACTTGCGTATGAGTAGAATTATCTACTCTTCAGAATCCAAAATCAATGAACATTTCACATTCACTCCGCCCTTCCATCCTGTGACAGCAACATGGAATTCAGTTACCACAAAATTTGACTTCATGAAATGAAATCCATATTTCTTTTCTAGGGAGGACAAGTAGCCAGAATTATTGGTAAAAGCTAAGTCTAACAAAAAAAAAAGAAAAGGCACAACAAACTAAAATAATCCTGGTACTTATTTTAAGTCCATAATAACCTTGTCTTTTCTTTTCCCCCTTTAGAAATATAGCTTGCCAAAGAATAACTTTCCTGCTAGTGTCCTGAGCTACTCTAGTACATGTCGACAGAGTGATTTTTCCCCCTCCTTCAGGAGAAAAACAAAAAATAGCTCTTTGGCACCTTCTGTGGGTAGACTCGTGGGCATCTGGGATGTCACGGTTCTTCTGGTGGTGGTCAACACTCTGAACTGTGTGGTTGTTGCTCGTATGGTTGTGGCGGTTTGAGAAGAAGTTTCCACTGGATCTACATTCTCACACATCTTTTCTTTAGACTAGTAAGAGAAACAAAAAGTGATCACTCCTACAGTTTTAGAAATTATAAAAAAAAAAGTTGAGCTATAAAGCGTCACATATCTCAAATCAACATAAGAAATAAATTATCTTTGTAGAGAACTCTACTTATAGATTTTTGCTAAATTAAAAAGTTGGTAACATGGGAAAGAGAAAAGCAATGGTTGTAACAAAGCATTTCCTCTTTAGAGATTTGGATTTCACCATTTTCTGCTGTTAAATTTTCACATTACTATTTATCTGGCCCTAAATTGTATAGTGATACATTTATAAAAGACATGAAGCCAAAAAGGAAAGTTAATACTAGAAGAAAAACATGCACATACAGATGAAATTGAAAACATGCCCAGGTACATAAAGGAATGCCTTCCCTTCATATCAAACTGACAATGCTACATCCTGAACATTTGCTGACTGTACCATGCTACTTCATTCTTTCGAGAATAATTTTCCATAGATTGAATAGATATTTTAACTTTTTTCCTTTTATGCAATATTCAGGACCATACAAGCAAAGGCCTGGACAACACTCACGTTGATAAATGAATCGTATATTGGTACTGTGAAATATTGGGTCACCGGAAAAGTTGTGATGCATTTTTGCCCAGAAAAAAGCATGTCATGACTTTTCTGACAACCTAACAGATAGCTATGAAAATGAATACAACAGCTCTATGGGTAGCAACATGGATTAGCATGAAAAAAGTTTTGGAGGACCAGTAGGGGGCATAAGTGCTGAATTCCCACATGGCTGACCATGGTTCGAGTCCTGGACCTGGCAGCTTGCTTTCTCACTTTCCTTTTCTCTCTCCCTATATCTCTTGGGTCAAAATTAAAACAAACAACAAACAAACAAACAAACAAATGAAATAATTCTTGAAAAAAATTCTGAGGGTGGGACCAGCAGTTAGCATAAAGGCTATGTTTCTGGACTCCCACGTAGTTGACCACGGTTCGAGTCCCGGACCTGGTGGCTTAAATTCACGCTGGGAGCATGTGCGTGCGTGCCTGAGATCACAAGAGGAGAATGGAGAAGGGATTGCAGTGTGGCCATCCCCTTGGGGGGTGATTTCTCGCTTTCTGTCTCTCTCTGTCTTTCTGGTGAGTGTATGCGCCCTATAGCAAAAACCTCTCCAAAAAAAAAAAAAATTCTGAATGATAAGCCCAAAGTTCAAAATAGCTTTATTTATTTTTAACAGAGAGAGGTAGGCATCTGATAGAGCAGGAGCAAACAACCAGCTTCAGCCATCAGTGAATCTAAATCCTAAACTGCATACTGCAATCATGAGTATTCATTTTTATTGTGCTTTACAGGTGCATTAATATTACTAACATATTAAAACATTTTTTTAAAGAATATAAAAAGAAGGGATATAAATTTCTTACATCCACTCAACTCACTACCCATGGGAATTTTCCGTGACAACCACCATTGCATAGTCTCCACCATCCTGTCCACTGATTTAGTCTAGAGCACCAGCATCCGCAGCCCAGGTTACAGTCAAAGCCACATATTGGTCCCGTGACTCATAGCCATTATTCACCCTGAGCCAGAGTGATTCTTCCCAAAAGCCGTTTGGATATTGTCCTCTTGACTAAAGCCCTTCTGATCATTTTTCCTTGCCTTTAGGATAAAGTCGAAATTCCTGCAACGTGTTATGTGTAGGACCCTGTTCACCTCTCCAACCTCGTATTGCACCACTTTGCTTTGCTTTGGTGGCCTTGCAGGCTTCACCTTAATTATCATCTCCTACCTCACAAGACCGCTGACAGTTATGCTGTCTCTGTCTATGCTGTTCTCTAAGTGCATTCTCTACCATGCTGGACACAGCGGTCTATCTGCCTTGCTGGACATATTTCTTATATATGCTGGAGACATCGCAGATAGGTTTCTGGTGGCCTTAGAGTGACCAGTTCTTTCACCCTTCTCACTGTGGTTCTTAAAAATAATTGTAGAATGTGCTAGAAACACAATATCATGAGATAAGGGCAAGCTAGCCAGAATACCCCAAGCTCTGTTCCAGTCTTCCCCTAGAAACAGTTGATGTTCTTCAATTCTTTAGCCTTGCTGCTCTCTGGGTACCTCAGCTGCAGTGCAGAGAAGCTTTCCTGAGCCTGGGGGGACCAGTTCAGGATGAAATCTAGGCTCCATTAGCCCTTGCATGTCTGTAAGTAAACACCTGCTGTATGGAACTTGTTGTGTCTGGGTATCTTATCAACCCCAACTCAGACAAATTGTGAGACGGTGCACAGTGAGCCTGCTTCACAAACATGTGTTGTACATGTTCCTATTAGCATGAATACTTATTGAATAAATTCATCTCCCAGTATCAGATAAACATTAACCTCAGTTTCAGGCAAGGAAATGGGACTGGAGTTGACAACCTTGTTTACTTACCTGTTTCAAAAAAAAAAAAAAAAAAAGAGAGAGGATTGATGAGCATGAAGCTAGTAATGTGGACTGAGAATTTAACTATAATTTTATAGCATTAGCACTACAAATTGCAGAATGCACTAAATTCAGAGCTCCATGGCAGGAGGGAGTAATTTTTAATTTATCTTTGTGCTTTTGGTGATTAGCAAAGTCCACAGGATATAGTGACTTCTCCACTAATATACTAAGGGGGGCTTTCAATGGGAAGGGTTTTCCTCTATTGCTTATATTCCATAGCAAGGCATACTGAAGCAAGAAATATACAGTGTATGAATTTATTCTCAGTTTTGACACAGATATGAACACTTAGCTTTAACTTTTTCTTTTCTTTTATTGGGGTAACTGATTACATAGAAGGAACAATAATATGAAAAAAAAAAAAACCCAAGGTTCTATTACCATATTTTCCTTTTGAGCAATACTGTTACGTGAGTGAAATAAAACGGCTGGATTAGAACGTATTTCTATAATTCCCCATTTGAATGTCAAATAGTTTAAAATTGCATCAGCAATACTATATTTAAGTTCAAAGATATTCCTTTTTTTGTTGTTCAAATTTCGTCAGAGGGAATATGCTCTTGCTGGGGACAGAGAGAAAGAGGGATAGTGATAGAGAACTGGTCACTCTGCAATGCCTTTTTTTTTTTTTTTCCATTTTTCCCATTTTTCAGGATTTGGGGCACACATACGGATGTGCCTGCTCTGGTTTTCAAGCTACTGGGTCTCAAAAAGTGCAGTTGGCCATGTGTAATCCAGCTGCCTTAACCACCACACCACTGACTGGCCCCAAGAATATGGTTAAAGATGTATTTTCTCAAGCTACTTATGAGACATCTCTCCCCCCACCAAAACAAAAAAGGAATTAAAAATATTTTTAAATAGCACTGACATTATTATATTTATTAAGAAAACTTGCATAGTAAATCATTGTTATTCAAATTCATGTCCTAAAAATTAATTAATAAAAAGAAATACTTGTCTCTATTAACTTCATAGACTGTCTTCATGTGACCCTGAAATGACAGTGTAAATGAAATTTACTAGAAAACTTTTCAACAGGTTAAAATTGCCTCTGCAATTGTGTGTAATCACTTCAGTCACTTTATTACTCGACTATCAAGTTTGCCTCGGAATTAATGTCACACCATTTCTCTACGTTAGATCATTTTTCACTTATTGTAGCACACCAATTTTGCTGTCATCTGTCTCTTCCCCCATATCCTTGGTCTTGATATTTAAACTAAAAAGAGGAATAAAGGCTTCTACGATCTTGGAAAATCGGCAAGTATTTAAGAAAACTGTCTTTTGTCCCACAGAGATTCAAATCCTGGCTCTGCTTCTCCCTAGCCATCTGCTTAATTCTCTCAGCATCCATACTGACCTCTTCCCACTACTTCCCCTCACCCCTCCCTTTGTCGTCGTCGTACCATGAGAGTAATAACAGTGCCTTGCACACAGGAGAGAGATGAGAATACATTGAGATGATACTTATAAAAAGGGAAGCCCCATCTCTGGCCCCTAACTGCTGGGTATTTTTAAATTAGATACCATTTTTATTAAGCTGTAGCAACTCTACAACTTAATAAGAGCTTGTCCCAGGAATCGTGTGATAAAAGCACAATACCTCTTCAGGGCATCCACTGTCTACCCAGTCCTGCCGATGGCGATCGAATCCACTGGAACATCTTCAAACAAGACCATATGGCAGTTCGGAAAAGAAAATGAAAACAGAAATAAAAAAGGAAAGACTGGTAAGTAGTTCATTCTCAAAAGGTCCTTTTAGTTCAATATAAACTTTCTTCAATAGACCTGGTCATTGGAGAAGCAATGGAAAGTTGACAGTGTCACTAAGCGGTCCTTTGCTCCTTTGGTCATCACACTATGAGGATCACACGGCCACACACACACTACTTTGCTGAAGCCGACTCCCTGAATAGAAGATCCCTGTGCCAAGATAAGCCCAATCGTGTCTATGAAGTTGGGGTTCTTTCTACTTGTGTTATCTTTTTGTTGTTTTGTTTTTCCTCCTCATCAAAACAAATGAATACAGATGAATTTCTTGGAGGTACTATTTTTTCATGATTTTGGATCTTCCTTTCTTTTCTCATTTTTTTCCTTTCTTCCTTTATCTCTCATTCTCTCTCTTCCTTATTTCCTTCTTTATTTCCTCCTTCCGTGTAAGATTACAGTCACACAAACTCTACTGTGCAGTGAAGTGCTAACTCAGCGGTTTTAGGGTTTTCAAATCCTGAACCTTCCAAAGGAAGAACTGGTCCTTGACTGCCTTGATTTCTCGTGAATATGTGGTTCCTTGTTTTTCAATTCACACGGGAACCTGGGCCATACTGTTTCAGTCTGATCTCTGGGGGACCTTGGGAGGCTGGAGATAGGGTCAGTCACAGGGGCTTGGCCAGGCTTCCTCAATTGCCAATACTTATTTTGTGTGTTGGTAGACATTCTTGCTGGGAAATCCAAGTGCTGTCTGTATGACTGCCCAGAGAGGACAACCGGAAGTTTGTGTCTGGTCTCTCCTGGACTCTGCGCTATGAGCCTTTTACCTTTGCAGATTTGAATCGATTTTCATTTCTTGTAATTAATGGAAACTTGGGAGTTTCACAGCTTTTCTAACTTCTGTAAGCTCTCCAGTGAATCACTGAAACTGTTTCTTGTGGATGCCTGATAATACTATAATTAGGTTATGTCTGAAAGGTCTAATTTAGCAAGCATTAGTTAATAAAATTTTGATTACTCAATTTTTTTCCCTTGACTAGAAGAATTTTGTCTTTTCTGCCTATTCTGCAGCCCATTCACTGTCAGGGTCCAGCAATGACTGCCCAGAGCACATCCTGACAGAGCTTCCTCACTACTGTGCTCATAACTTCCTCCACCGCTGAACTTTTCTCCTTTCTATAGAATCTCACGGGCTCAGGTCTTATTTACCAAACTTGAGAACATTGCAGCATTAGGGTCGGCATTTTATCCTATCACACCTAGCACCCTGGAAACATGATGTCTTTTTTATGTTAGAAATTCAAAATGTTTTGAGTGGCTGAATGATGGTCCAGCAGGGGAATGTGACACTCTGTGAGTGGGACCCACATGGGAAGGTTCTGGTTGTGTCTAGAAATCTCCCTGAGCCATGCCAGACACATGCATGTCCATGATCCAGAGTTGGTTGAGGCTGAGAGTAAATTAACGTGTCAACATCCTTTTGGCGCTTCCTCTTTTTCTGTGTCACACACACACACACACACACACACACACACACACACAAACAAACTTTAAAAGCAAGACATTCAAAATACTGTTGTCAGTCTATTAAAATGAAGGCTTTATATTGCTCCTGAATTTTGATACCTAAATATATATTTATATATATAACAAAAGAATTCATATTAATATATACAAATCTAAATACATATGCACGTATTCAAAATAAATGGAAGCAACTCAACTTTTGACATATTTTCTTGAAGTCCTTGAGCATAACTTTACAAGTTTTTTCACTTGTTTTGGGATGACATCCACATGACGGCTTTTTTCTTTTTCTTATTCCTTCTTTCTTTCTTTTTTTTTTTTTTATGATGATGGCTTTTTCTAAGCATCTTTGCCAGAAATTATGTACCATGGCATGAATGAACATCATTTAATTCAAGTGGAATGTGAAAACAACTCTACTGTCAACAAAAAAATCTGTATTTATCATTCTCTTCGGACATGATCCACTGAAGCTCAGTTATTTCATTCCTACCATCTGTGTTGAACAAGCATAAGTGTGGAATAAACATCAGTGTGTGATTTGGCGTCCTAAATCTGAGAATCCCCAGTCGGTCAAGTCCATCTCTGGTTACCTAATGAGATTCTGATGGATGTGGCGTCTGTTTAATTCCAGATGAGTTACATGACTGTTTTCCCCGTTTTAATTTCAAGTTTGTTTAAATATTGAAGCGTATACTGACATTCTCTTTGGAAGATGGGAATATACCAACTTTCTACAAGAAATATTTGTGGGTAGTCACCTGACCACAAGTAATTAAATAGAACAGAGAGTTTTAAAAATGTAGTTTGTTTTCACGTATGCTATTCCAGATGTAACAGTAAGGTGTTAATAACTTTTACCTTATAAATAAGACAGTACCAAATCTGAAATCTGTGTGTCAATAGAAATTGTATTTTAGAGTAAATAGCTTGTGAAATTGTTAAACTTAGAGAAAAGCGCAGAGACACTGTAGCTGATTTATTAAATTCTGTTACATTGTGTGAAATTAGGTTCTTCTGAAAATATGCAAACCAATTAAATAATTCGTTAATCTGTTCAGAATTGAGTCTCTATTGATTAAGCTTACGTTTACTAATGGCTAGGGTGGAATGAACTGAGAACAGCAAAAAGTAAGATTCAATTTGAGTAAGTCATACTTTTTTGTACTTTATAGTGCCTTTTCAAAGATTTAATATGATTTATTATTATTATTATTATTGAGTTTTTCCATAGGGTATGTGTGCTCACCAGAGACAGACAGAGAGAAAGAGGAAGAGGGAAAGTGAGAAAGCAAATCACCAGGTCTGGGACTTGAACCACGATGACCATTGGGAGTCCTGAGGCTTGACCACTATGTCACTTGCTGGCCCCCAAGTTTATAGTGCCTCAAAAATGAATAAAACTGAGCTCTGCATGTTTGGCTTTTTTTTTTTTTCATAACAGAATACTCTAAAAACATTCAAAAGCAATTATGAATAAAAGGGTGTGTTTGTGTGTGCATTTGGATTACATAAATCATTAAGAAAACCCACTTCCATATTATTTCTAAACTCTAAATGAACCCAAAATCACTTTTGAAAATACCTTCCTATTTTGAGCTCCGTGTTGCCTTTTTTTTTTTTTTAGATATAATGACTAACCATGTCATAGTCTAGTACATTGATTTCCTAACACATATTTTTTTTTTTTTTATTATTATTATTGAGTTTTTCCATAGGGTATGTGTGCTCACCAGAGACAGACAGAGAGAAAGAGGAAGAGGGAAAGTGAGAAAGCAAATCACCAGGTCTGGGACTTGAACCACGATGACCATTGGGAGTCCTGAGGCTTGACCACTATGTCACTTGCTGGCCCCCAAGTTTATAGTGCCTCAAAAATGAATAAAACTGAGCTCTGCATGTTTGGCTTTTTTTTTTTTTCATAACAGAATACTCTAAAAACATTCAAAAGCAATTATGAATAAAAGGGTGTGTTTGTGTGTGCATTTGGATTACATAAATCATTAAGAAAACCCACTTCCATATTATTTCTAAACTCTAAATGAACCCAAAATCACTTTTGAAAATACCTTCCTATTTTGAGCTCCGTGTTGCCTTTTTTTTTTTTTTAGATATAATGACTAACCATGTCATAGTCTAGTACATTGATTTCCTAACACATATTTTTTTTTTTT